CTCAGTAGAACCTGGTACATGATGTACGAGCAAAAGTTCATACTAACTTCAAATCAAAGTTTAGAACTTGAAATTATTACTTTTTGCTCTCTGGGGCAACCATACTACGTGTTTCGTAACAATTGAAACCGGTCTTGAAAAAGAGCAAAAAGTAATAATTTCAAGTTCTAAACTTTGATTTGAAGTTATGAACTTTTGCTCGTACATCATTTACCAGGTTCTACTGAGGTAGTTTTTTTAAAATGACTGCTGAATGGCCAAATCGATTCCGGGGCCCCTCAAAACAAAAAAATGGTTCTGAGGTGATTCAATCATGATTCTGGCCTTTCAATCATGAAAATGCCATCCAAAAACTAGCTCAGTAGAACCTCTTAGACTTTCTACCAGGACATTTGAAGTTCATAACTTCAAATCGAAGTTTAGAACTTGAAATTATTACCTCTTGCTCTGGGGGGGCGACTGTACTCAATGGTAACAAAAGGGTAGTAGTACTATTTGAAAACGTTGTGTTGCAAAGTGGGTCATTCCTGCACCTGATAACATTGAAATATATCTTTTTTGACTGGCCGGCTCCTTTTTACTTCTACGCATGGCAAATACACAGATACTGGTGGTTGTAGTGGGCCCACAACAATCAAGATCTGTTTATTTGACATAAATATTTATTGGAATCCTTGACTAAATAGTTCCAGACTTGTGAGTTGGCACACCTTGAAAGACAGTCACTCGGCGGTAAAATGGAAATTTTGATCTTCCTTAAAAGAACAAGCATAGTACGTCACAAAAAGTGTTTGCAAGGTTTGGTTGCAACCCCACACATGTAGTTTTTGCACAAGCACTAAACATGGTGAAGTTTCAACTATCAAGCTTACTAACAACCCCTTTTGTGTGATTATTTCTGTGACACAATGCGTTTCACTCTGCACACAAATTTATTCTGCCGGTATTTCAATCCATACTTGATCAACCACTGCTCAATATTTTTACTTCTTGGGGTCGTGATATACAACCTCAACAGTTACAACAACAGTAACCTCCAACCACGACTCTTGGAATTGAAACTCAAGATTTACACATGTAAATAGTATTACTCTCAAATAACCTTGGTGGAATCAATATTGTGGAACAATGATTCTGCTACCTTATGGTTTCAAATTTTTGAAATGGCCGGCTCCATCACTACCTCCTAACAGGTGAGAAAATGTATGACTAACCGTGTTACTATTTTGTATGATGAATCAATTCTACAAGTTCTTTCATAGAATACTAAACTTCTTCCATGACAGTCCCCACTGTTCCCACAATGAAATTGTTTTGGGAACACTTTACGGGCTCATCAGTTAGGTTTCTGAACCTTTCGCAAACATATATGTTGTCCATCATGGTAAAGTCAACCCTAGTTTTGGAGTCAGTTGGTAGTACAACTCTGACATTCTTCCATCTACATTCCTCCTTAAATTGTTCTTTCATCTGTTTTTTGAATAGCTCTCCTGTTTGAGGGTCCTTTTGGAGTTCCTTAATCTCAGCGCACAACCTGTGGTATTAACTTTCCCTCTGGAGCCCACCCGTCTCTTCTTCCACTTCTTGCATTACAGAATCTCTTTTGCTCCAACTTAACTGACCTGTCTTTCTTTCTCATAAGGGCGGACTCCCATACATGAAGTTCATTGTAAAGCATCAGGAGAGCAAAGGCTTTGTCCTCAACACTGAAAATTTCACTGAGCAAATTCTCAGCTCCTTTCTTATTTCTGTTGAAATCATTATTCCTAGTCACAAGACATATGCCAATATTCTAGCAACAAAATAATTAAACTCCGGATTGCTGGCACTACTGTATATCCTGTCATGTGAATGTAGAATCTTCTTCTCTTTATCATTCATGTCCCAATCAGAAATTCCCACGTTCCTGGAAATCCGCCTGGGACGTTTCTATTTTCACTGTGTTGGAAAACAACAACAGCAACAGCAGCAGCAGCAGCAACAACAACAACAACAACAACAACAACAACAACAACAACAACAACAACAACAACAACAACAACAACAACAACAACAACAACAACCCCAGCCCCCAGTATTCAAACAAGACCTATCCTTTGAAGAACAACACCTGGAGTATATGCTACATACTCAGTTTAAAGAAGATTCCCCAGCCTCATCTCCATGCAGTTCCAGTAATATTTACAGACTGGAAGTGTTTTCTGGTCATGATGTTGTTGCTTCTGACACTGGTGTTGGCCAGCAACAACAACAACCAAGCAATCTAATCCAGATGATGCTGATGCCATCAGTATCATTCCCAGTTCTATCACCCACCAGTTGGGTGCAGTTTGCTTCACCAGCAGGATTCATCCCCAGTTCTCAATGACCAGAAGCAGTGATTTCTGGTCATGATGTAGTTGTTTCCAACACTTGTGTTTGAAAGCAACAACAACAACCCCAGCCCCCAGTATTCATCCATGACCTTTGAAGGACAACACCATACTTGAAGACGATTCCCCAACATCTCCATGCAGTTCCACCAGTATTCTTTATGCAACAGAAGAAGATTCCAGTCACAATGATGTTGTTTCCAACACTCATGTTGGTCCGCAGCAGCAGCAACCCAAGTTCTCCTTGCCTTAATATAAGCAATCTGATACTGCTGAGATCAGTATCATTCCCAGTGCCCCACCAGCTGTGTGCAGTTTACCTCAGCTGGGTTCATCCTCAGTTCTCAAAGACCAAAATCAGTGTTTTCCAGTCATGATGTTGTTGTTTCCAACATCAGTGTTGAAAAACAACAACAACAACCCAAGCCCCCAGTATTCAGACAAGACCTTTGAAGAACAATGCCTAGAGTATATGCTACACGATACTCAGTTTCAAGAGGATTCATCACCAGCTTCACTCCATGTACCAGTTCCAGATTATTTATGGACTGGAAGAAGATTCTAGTCACAATGTTGTTGTTTCCAACATCAGTGTTGGAAAGCAAAAACAACAACCCCAGCCCCCAGTATTCAAACAAGAACTATCCTTTGAAGAACAACAGAAGTACATACTGCACCATACTCAGATTTAAAGAAGATTTACCAGACTTGCCTTCTGGCTTGGCAGTGCACTTTGAAATGAAATTGCCATGGTTCTCACCCATCCAAACTGTGAACCACCCCTTTTATGTCCTCTGAATCCAGCAACCTGCCTCAATTGGCCTGTCAGTGTGCATAGAACCTGGTCACACCTCCACAACACCTCCTTCGAGGGAGGTGCTGCCCCTTGGAGCAGCTAGAAGCATTCTTCTCCCTAGTCCAGAGAGGCTCTGGCTCTGGTAAAATGGTGCCTCTTCTAGTTCACAAGGTTAAATATAATATTAAGATTTTTTTAGCATTCTTCAGCAGGGAAGTTATGGTTCTGGCCTACATTGCACCTCTTCTAGTTCATGAGGTTAAATATAATGTTAAGATTTTTTCTAGGCATGATCAATGATTGGGTATATGATTTTCCAAAGGAGATACTAATGTCATGCAGTGTAAATCTTTTTGTGTGTTTTTATGATTTATACATTGGATTGTGATCATATTGGAATCATAGAATATGTAGATTGCTATGGTATCATAGTTGCAAATGTGTAGTCGTGGGTCCAATTGATTGATGTTGTCTTAGGAGATAAGAGTTGACAACAAAGTGGGGGAGTATACACATCAAATTCTAACATATCCTTTGTCATTGACAGCTGGTACGTGAATATATCCTTCACCATAGGGGTAAACACAATCTGTCAAATTCAGAGCACCAACAAGTTTAAGTGGCATGGGAATGTTTTACTGTAGGATTTGTAGTTGTGAAGGATATCAACTTCCATGCTCACATACTGTCACCAAGTATAAGAGAAAAAATTCTAGCAAGTGTCAGCAAAGTGTTGCTTGCCTCTGTCTCCAACACTTGCCCTATTACTTAGTATTTTCCACATTTGCCTCATAGTAAACAACCACCAGAGAGCATCACGCAAGATAGGCTGGTCTTCGATGCATACTCCAAGAAGAAATGACACAGACCACCAGCACCGCCAGGGACTTCCTGACAACTCCGACAATCCAGACTACTTTGCATCAGTTTTACAACTGGTGATTATACAGCCAACTCCCCCTCTTCTCCCCAGTTGTGCTTCTACTTACACTCCTCAGAGGGAAGCGCTGCCCCTTGGTGCAATTAGAAGCATACTTTACACCAAAATTTTTGGTTAATGCCATATAGCATCTCTTCTAGTTCACAAGGTAAAATATAATATTCAGATTTTTTTAATATGGAGGACTGGAGTAGTTGGTGATGTATGGATAGTAGGCAGAGACAGAGGAAGATTAGGGCTTGGATTTTCTGATTTTGTTGTCCTCTGTACATAAAATCTTTCTTTTCTCTGTTGTCTGACAATGTTGTGTTGGAGGATGTTTCATTGACAACCATTTGTTTTTCTACAGTTTCTGTTTGAACAAGGTTAGAAGATTTATCTGCTCTTGCAATTGTATTTTTTGCTTGTTTATACATTTGGCAAAAGTTGATGGAATTTTATCTGAGGAGGTTGGATTGACAAAGGACAGTTCAAATTTTAATTGTATGGATGGAAGTTTGCCCTGTCATCATTTCACAGACAAGGCATGGTTGAGTGAAAGATGGGTTTGCAGAGTCTTGCCATGGGCATTTGTTACAGTCATGGGAGGGATTTGATTCACTGTTGTGTTCTGTGTGGCTAGATTTACTGTGAGCATTGTCTTTCTGTAAAGGGCAAATGTTGGGGTCAAAATGTGAAGTGATGTTGTTGAGTTCTTCCCCAAATAAATTTCCCTTGATTGGTTGAAACATTGGGTCAAACATACCTACAAATTTCTAAGCCATATATGATTGTACATTGTTGAGGTGAAACAAAGAGATTATAAAATCTACTGGTCCACCAAGGCAACATTGGTAATGATAGGAACATTTCTTATTGTCACTAAAATGACAAAGAAGTTGTCTTGAAGTAACTGTTCCAACACAACACTTCCTCCTTCTTGTTGCCAAATACAACATGGATCTCTTGCTTCTTTGTTTCATTGTCCTTTTTGTAGCACCATCTGCAGTACACTCTTAACTTGGGGGACTACCCCATTGCACCTTGGAGGGTAGCTGAGAATAAGGATGGTGTTTGGTGCAGGAGCTGTTGTAAGGAGGTGGGAGTGTGCTGACATGTGAGCATTATTTTGTAGAGTTAAACTGGTGATGCTGCTTAGAGGAACATAGTTGTCATTGTATAATTTTTGTGTGTGCTGACATGTGAGCATTATTTTGTAGAGTTAAACTGGTGATGCTGCTTAGAGGAACATAGTTGTCATTGTATAATTTTTGTGTGTGCAAAAGTGTTCCATTGCAGCTGAGCTGTTAGTGCTGATGTGCACATAGTCAGAATAGTAGGATGGAATATTGAATTTATAGTGCAATGCTATGCTTGGCATTTAGTACTATGAAAATTCAATGCAACCCAGGTCTAACAGAGGGTAACTATGATACTCAAGGGCTATTTAGCGCAGAATTCATGCAGAACCATGAAAACAGTTTGTGTTACATAGTTCTTCTTCTTTCTTCTTTTTATTGTTGCTTCTTCTTGTTCCTGTTCCTCTTCTCGGTCTTCAATAAACATGTATTCTTGACAGATATTTTTACTTCAATCCTTTAGCTTCTTCTTGTTGAGTGTATGATACCAACGAGAAAAACTGAAGAAGATTTGTCAAGGAAAATATTCTTATTCAGTGCTCAGACAGCAGGGCCAGAAAAAGAGATTGTTGGTGTTATATTATGTATTGTTCAATGATTTATTTTGACACAGCATCATAGTAGGAGAACATTTTCACCATCAACCTATGACACTGAAACGTTTTGTACATAAAATTGCCAAGATCAACAGTCCAATGTTGTTGTCATTCATTCTATGATAATATACAGTATTTATCACCATTTCTAATTTCTTGGCGAAACCTGAGTATCTCGTATTGCTGAGAAGATGTACAATCAAAGCGATTTTTGTTGAAGTGATGTTGTGAAAAAAATGACCCATACACGTTGGAAATGACCTAAAGACTTCGTAGTTGTCCATTGCAACAGTAAGATTCTCAGGGATCTTGTGCCAACAGTCACAGAAAAGTTCGTCCATCCGAAGAATTTAAGATCGAGAGGGATCGTTTTAAGCGATCCAAAGCATCTTAAGTGAGCAAATCATCGCGTTGATCTACCCAGAATGCAGTGCCTCAGAGTTGGCAACATGCAAGCTGGACTTCAGATTCATTTTGGTTCAAACCGACGAAAAACGATGCCMCGCATCCGAATTTCTATCTCGTTGTGTTTGGTGTTTGAGAAACGGCATCACTGATTCTTTCGCATGTTCGAGTTTTCCTACTCTGTCAGAATCCTAGAATGTTACGCGCTATGATTTGGAGGAGGAATCAAGACCGTAGCAAGTTCGCTGACGTCATGTGTTTGATTTTGTATGTTTCGATTTGTTTCGCTGTACCTTTGTAGCTTGTTATCTGCACTTCTCATCAATCGCGAATCGCAAGGCATCTAACTCGACTTCTTTCAATCTAGAGTAGTCCTCAAGGCGAAAGAATGCCGTAGCAAGTTCGCTGACGTCGTGTATTTGATTTTGTATGTTTCGATTTGCTTCGCTGTCCCTATGAATCTTGTTATCTGCAATCAATTGTTCCTATGACTCGTGTCTCATCAATCGCGGATTGCAAGGCATCCAACTCGACTTCTTTCAATCTAGAGGAGTCCTCAAAGGCCCGAAGTTTCTTCTCGAGATCAACACGTTTTTCGATAAAGAATTGTTTGTCTTCCCGAATAGAGTCAAATTCTAGTTGCATGTTACCCAATGTTACTGTCGATTTCATTTTCAGAACCGAGTCCTCTTTTCTAATTTTGATCAATTCATGCTGCAATTCAACCAATCGATGATTTAGCAAAATTCGTTCGTCACATAGATCACGACATTTCTGCATCATCTCCCTATCCATTTCTACTTCTTCTTTGCTCACAACATAGTTGATCTCAGATACTACGACCGGTTCTGGTTCGCGAACAATAGTGTCGATTTTGTTCTCTTCCAACATGGTCAATCTATGTTCTGGTGAATATTAACAGACCGTTGGCTTAGTTGAGTCGTACAGACAGAGTTTGCAAACGATGCGCTTGTAAAGGAATGAACACGATACTGTACCAAAGCAAATAAAATTGCATTACAGTATTGTTTATTGCCCCAACGCATCGCAAAAACAGTTCGTACTGAACCAGTTAATCGTTGAGTATTGGAAACGACGTACAGACGAAAGACGGCTATAAATGGGTGATTCCCGTAAACATAGAATCTATGCCGTCTTACTTTACGAACTCATGTATACGGGATCAAGTATGTATGGACATATTCTAAAATCTTAGATTATGGCGCGCTACATCTGCTTGATTTTTAAATATGGAATTTTGCTTGAAATTAACAGAAAATAACTGCATTCTTGCCAGCAAATATTGAGAATATTGAGAAGTGTTGTCCGTAGGATATCAGACCGTGGGTATGATTCATACATACGACAATTACATAAGATACATATATACGATTCATACACACCATACATATATGACTCACGCAATCCCACTGGATTCATATGATCGACATGACTCATTTCATTCACTTGCGTGAGTGACTCGACTCATTCGATTCACACATCACTCAATCCTCGTCACAGCAATCCATTCTAGATTTCATAGTTCGTCGATCCCCGATAAGAGCATTGACTCACTTTTCTACTAGCACACACTTTACATCACTTTTAGGACAGTCACTCCCACAGGTTATGACACCCTTCCAATAAAATTCATCACCACCATGGTGATAATACCTTGCATACTCCATGTCGATTAACCAAATCAAAGCCAATCCAGCTTCGTTTAATAAACCTTGCCTCGTTTGCAACATGATGACTGGACAAACATCAAATCATACATTTGAACATTGCCCAATCCTTCAGCAGTCAAACCTACATCCTCACTAAAAGGACCACGGAGACAAGGAAGAAGCCTGATGGAGCCATGTCAACAGGAACTAAAAGTTGAGAACCCTGAGAAACCCCCCCTTCCCTGGGGGAGGAACTGGTTGGAATGCAGCAAAACGCGTGTAGTTCACGGCGTTGATTCCAGCATCAATTCCTCACACAAAAAAGAACAGCATCGATTTGCAACCATGTTGATTCCGAAGATGGTTTTAACAAGAAACAACCAACAGCAGCAACCACCTCCACCGCCAGCACCACCAATTGTTGCAGTACCAGGTGGCCAAAGATCTGGAACAAGCAACTATGGTACTCAGGAAACCATTGACTTGATGTACACCATCATCTTGGCAAGGCTTCCTATTGCTGGTGGGAGTGATGATTCCGAGGATTCTGATTCCGATTAGCGCATGAATCCCATTGTCGATTGTCGTGTTTATAATTCTTTACTACATTTAATTTATCTTATTAATCACTACTTAATTCCCATCTTCCATTTGGTTTATACTGACTGCTTGTTATGGCAAAAGCAAGTGGATGAAAATTATGACCCCTGTACCACTGCACGTACGGATAACATCATTCAATTTCTACCATTACTAGTACGTTCGTATCGTAAACGCAACAGATGCTGTTGAGTGCCGCCGTTTTCAGATATCTGCTGATCGCTGATTCAAAACAGTTGATAGGTTCCCTTTCTTTGTTTCTTCAAGAAGTACGTACTTTTTCAAAAATGATGAGACAGCAAACAGCCTCCTGAAGGAAGACGCGACCAATGAAAAGCGTGCGCGCTGTTTAAAGAGGAAGAACATGTCCGTGCATGACATCGACTGACGTAATTGTCCAATCACATTCTTCTTTCGGTATTATGCTTGCGATGGGTGGCTGCGAGGACTATATCGTGGCAACAGTACGTTGAAAGAGTTTGAACGATGCATTTTCACCACACAATTTCTTCTTTTCTCCTAGAATGTTTTTTGATGAGAACACAACATACGGTACTCGCACCACTCGTAAGTAAGTACTGCTGGTATTTGTAGCGTTCTGGGACAAGTATTTTGATGGACCGTACCGTACCGTACTGTACCGTATGATAATCATTACGAGTATTGATCTAACGATTTTCCCCCCCTTTTTCATTTCAACTGGGGTTCCAACCAGGTCAGCGCTGCTCACATCATCACGACCCATCACCGCTATCCACTCGTAAGTTTGATACTGGAACCAAACGCTCCAAAATCGCTTGAAAAATAAAGCCATCTCGCCATCAATCTCAATAGAATTCAAAGAATTGAATCATCACCTATTCTTCTCATAAACACACGGTTTCAGTATTCGATCTTGTTGCATACTATCACCCATTCTACTACTCAACAGATAGACCCAGAGAGACAATGATTTCAAGAACTTGCCATATTGCAAGTTTCATTCTAATTGCCGTATCGTTTCTGATTGGTGAAAGTCAAGGATTCACGACTTCACCGTCGGGATCGAACCATCGACAGGGGAGAACACAGCACACCCTAACGTACAGTGCAGTCGACGAATTCAGTCTAGCAGAGACAGAATTGTCACTTCTGAAGAAAGCGAAGAAGGGACAGAAAGTGACGGCTTCTCCCCAGTCGATGTACGGAAAGAACAACGCTGATGAACTATTGGATGCTGCTACACAAAAAGCTACAATCGAAAATGAGTTTCCGAAGCGGAKAATAACAGCTAAGGTCCGCGAAACCGGAACCGACAGCATGAAACACTACATCAAAAGTATGTGCAACCACGAGCTATTAAACAAGAACGAAGAAATAATTCTTGCCCGTGAAATCCAAATATTATTGAAATGGGAGAAGCAACGAGAAAAGCTTGAAGAGGAATTACTACGGTGAGTTAGTCGTCGTGCCTTGTAGTTTCTGAATTCTTTTGTCGTTTCGAATTGAAATGGTGCAACTCACAATATACCTTTCCGTCTCGTAGACCTCCAACTTACGCCGAGTGGGCGACTTCGATTCGTACAAACATGACTGTCCCAGAACTCAAAAAACAAATCCGCCGTTCGCTTCGTGCGAAGACCGCCTTAACCGAATCAAACATTCGACTGGTCGTGTCCATCACTAAGCGATACCAAAACAGAGGTATGGCATTTCAAGATTTAGCGCAAGAGGGTATTTTGGGATTGACCAGAGCATGTGAAAAATTCGACCCGGAACGTGGATTCCGTTTCAGTACTTATGCCACTTGGTGGATCAAACAAAGCATTATGCGTGCTATTGCCGACCAGGGACGCACCATTCGATTGCCGGTGCACATCCACGACCAACTGAGTGCCCTTCGAAAGGCCGAGAGAGAGTTAAAGTCTGACTTTGGCCGACAACCGACTACTGCGGAGGTTACGGAACGAACTGGTTTCACTTCCGAACGAATTGATTTCTTGAACAGGGTTTCTCAACAATCAATTTCCATGGAGCAAGAACTTACTTCCTCGAAAGTTAAGGGATCCGGTGCTGGTGTAGGCGGAGGTGGTGGAAACTCACTCACCATAGGGGATATGATGGGGGATCCAGATCAGAAGCCAGTTGACCAAGCTTCGTATCAGATGCTTAAAGACGACCTTTCACGACTAATCTGTACACTCAACTCTCGCGAACAAGCTGTCATCCGAATGCGGTTTGGGCTAGATGACGGACGACCGAAAACACTGGAGGAGATTGGAAAACGATTTTCCGTGACTCGCGAGCGCATCCGTCAAATAGAAGCGAGAGCCCTCCACAAGCTTCGTCAGCCATACCGAAACCACGCGGTAAAGTGTTACGTCAAGGAGTACTCATAGATACACCGAGATAGAATGAGGCACGCACGATCATCAGCTAGGTTTAAAAGAAGCCATGTTTTAATAGATATAACATTAGTATTTCTTCATTTTAATGAAATAAAATCACAAAATACCGTTGAAATCTTATGTCACTTCGGAGACATCGATCGGATAACGCATTGATATCGAAGTAGTCGCTACTGACGGAAATGAGACGTTTGCAAAGGACTTCGAGAAGGATGAAGGTTGGAATATCACCTGATTTCATTGCCTGATTAGCTGGATAATTGGTCTATTCAGAGTTTGGATACCTCTGTACTTCTTACTCATATTCATCGAGTCCGACGCCTTTTCCACCATCACTAGCGAGTTGCATCTTACAATCATATCATTTCGGGGTTAGTGACTTAGCTTAGTACGAACAAATACGATGTTCTTTATGTTCTGAATTTCTTAAAATTACGCAGATGACTTGCCAGAAACGTTCAATATCGACGCCATCTCTCTTTCTTCACGATCGAGTTTCCTTCGCTCCGAGATGAGATAGCGCAGATTTTTCAATTTCAATTCGGCTTTTTCGTCTTGGCTGCGTGACCATGCATTCGTTAGCGTTGTCAGGGTAATGATGTTTGGTCGTAATTCATCATCACCCGACGCTAGAAACTTCTCTTGCATCCTATTGTATACCTCCTCGGCACGATATGCTCCCTTTCCTGAAGGACACCAGGCGTAGGCATCGATGACAGAGTTGTAACTGATGCTGTCTGGTTTCAGACTTTCGTCGTCTGCTTCGTAGTATAATTGTTCCATGAATCTGAGGTAAGTCTCGGCGCGTTCGGCAGCACCTTCTTGTCGCGAGTTGGCCCAAACTCCAATAATGGAATTGATTGTCACCTGATCTGGTCGACATCCTTTATCGCCCGACCTATATCGTTCGTTCATTCTCTTTAAAATAGCTTCTGCGCGCTGTGGCGCTTCCGTATAGTTCGACATCTTCCAAGCTAAGATTACGGCGTTGTAACTTCGACTTGTCGGAGAAAGTTCAGGATCGCCAGCTCTGCCTCGGGCCTCGAGTTCATCCAAGAGACTCTCTGCCCGAAGCGCTCCAGTTTTTCCTTGCCGCGATCTTGCCAATCCATCCATAACTGCATTGTAGTACAACGTTGTTGGTTTGGCATATATTCTTCCCTGCTTGTACAGATCTTTAGTCCTCTGCAATAATTCCTCTGCTAGCTCAGCACCTTCTCTAGAAGCACTCTTAGCATAGGCTTGAAGAGCCGCGCTATAAAGGAGTTTTGTAGGCCGTAGATTATCATCCCCTGCCGCAAAACCTTCTTCGACGGCCCCCAAATATTCTGTTGCCTTTTCTGCAGCTTCTCGTACACGAGTTTTCGTGAAGATATTGATCAAGTATGCATAAGTCGTCGCATCAGGTCGCAAATATTCTTGATGCTGTTGTCGCCTTTTCATTTCCTCAAGCATCTCCACTGCTCTAATAGGTACACGCGTGTCCCTCATCTTTGAAAGAAGGTAAAACAGTGTTGAGTACGTAGCAGTGCTCGGCAACAATTCCGGATTTTTTGTTTCATTGTAGAGAGAGTCCATCCTGTCGACAATTGCATCTACTTCATCTAACGAAGTCTTACCGACTTCTTTGCTTTTAGAGATGGCATGGATCAGGCTCGTAAATGTCTTTTCTGTAGGCATAAACCTATTCCCATTACTGAATCTATTACTCGATGATGACAGCAACGATGACTTGTACAGACCCTCGAGCTCGTGAAAAAGAGCGAGGGCCCTTGTAGCGTTTCCAACGTTCGCATGCGCTGCTATTACTGATGTGTATGAGATTTTGTCCGCCAAATCATTTTGTTTCATAGATTTTAAAATAGCTTCTGCGTGATCCTTCTTCCCTTGCTTGGCAAACAAGTGAATGAGTGTGTTGAGAAACGTTGTATTTGGTCCTTCACCAGCATGTTTTTTCATTCGGTTGATCAATGACATGGCTCGATCAATATCAACCCCCGCTTTTGCGTAACTGTACAAAACGGATGTATAGCTGACGACATCAGGTCGAATTGATGGATTTTTGGGCGAAGCTTGTTCCATCTGAAACAGTAATTCTTCAGCTTTCTCGGTTGCCATAGTTAGGTTGGTCGTCCCCGTACTACGACAGTAGGCATCAATGCAGGTAGAAAACGATATTTTATCGGGATGCAGGTCTTCGTCTTTGCTCTCCTGCATGCGTGTCAACAACGCGTGGGCCTCTATTGCGCCGTTGATCGATCTCGCCCATGCCTTTAAGCAAATATTGTAAGATATTTTGGTGGGCTCAGGTAGTAAGCTCGATGAGGTTATTGGGTTCCTACTCTTTCTTGATTTTCTATTTCTTTCTTTGTTTTCTTCTAATTTGGTAAGCAGAATCTGTGCTCGTCGTCCCGCGTCGTCTTCTCCGCTTAATGACCAACAATCCATCACTGCATTGTGACAAATGTCCGTTGTGATTTTCATGGTGAGTTCCATCTGATGCAACAGCTCTTCGGCCCGAAGAGCGGCTTTTCGTTTGCCACCACTCTTGGCGTATGCATTCAGTACATTACTATAGGAGTAGGAATCTGCAACAATGTTTTTTGATTTTTTGTCATCTGATGTTTTCAAAAGAAATTGGAGGAGCCTATCGGCTCGCTCAGCACCCTCCAAACTCCGCTGTCGAGCCCAGGCACTTAGGATCAAGTTGAACGAAAATGTGTCGTAATCATCATGGGTTTTACTTTCTTTGACTCTCTCTCTAAGCATTTTTTCTGCACCTTCTAGAATCTTTATTGGTGGCACATGGTGCCTGGAATTCCTCCTAGATTTTGATCGAGGTCCAGAGGGTGATTCTGAAAGCATTCTGGAAAGTTCCTGGTTAAATCTGACTGTCTCTACTGAAAGGTCTTTCTTCTTTCGACCTTGCTTTCGATCACTACTGTTGTTACCGCGATAAGACTTCGAATGACTTTGGTCTGGACGTTGACGATGAATCTCGGTTGATCTACTCCTAGTTTTCGACTTCTGTTGTTTTCGTAATCCCGAGGGCTGCGTATCGCTTGTTTTGGCAGAAAGAGTTATTGATGCCTTTCGGAAAGATTTTGGCTGACTTTGTACGAAACACCGTGACGGGGATATCCTTGATAGAAATAGAAAAAATATGCAGAATATGAACAAACCTCGCCATCTCCGCCTTCTCCTGTCTTGACATGAATATTCTTTTTCCACGTGTTCTGTTTCAAATTGCCGGTGTGGATCCGACGGCAAAGGACACATTTTGATAAATAGACATGGAGCCAGATTTCTGGCTCTTGTTAAATTTCTTCACACTTTTAATACCGTACGATATGCAGTAGCATTCTTGTGGCATCGGGGTTTCTTCTTCTCGACTCTTATACACAGTTACGGTGCTGAGAGTTGTTTTCGATATCAGAATGTGTGATCATACAGGAATCAGTCCAAGTAATTCGTAACAGACAGAACTTTAAAACCAATAGTGACGATGCGCTGTCAACAGCGGCTTTACAGTAACCCTACAGTAAAAAATCTGCAAGATGAGTGGTGACTGTTCACGACTGTTCTTGGCCGGATTTTATTCCATAATTCATTACTTTGCGGTGCAGTCGAAAGTTGGATGTAGGTTGTGTTGTAGAGTATGTATGTATGAGTACCATATATGTACCATAGTATTGTAGATAGTATTGTAGACAAAATGTCAAGACAAGAAAAAACAAAGGAGTAATACTGCTAGTGATACTTGCAAATCTTCCACTACTAGTGATACTGATTACAGTAGTATTAGTATGTAATAGTACAACTAGTATGTCGAAAATAGAAATAATAGTGGAAGAAGTACCTAGTAGTAAGTCACATAACACGTTTTCATAGTGACGCAAATCACTCGCCAACTGACCCTCTATTATCATACTCACCCCAATTATATCTGGGTCATGTTGTTATTTCATCTATTTATATTAATGTTATCTTCTCTCAAAATATAGTTTTTGGTTAATGCAAACAATGATATTTTCACCACGTGCACGATAGCACGTGTCGGTTGCCCAAGAAAGAATTACTAGTACTAGTTGGGTTGAGAAAAAGGAATATCATGCCTATCCTGATATTCTTTTATCTATTTTTGGTACACATCGATTCACTTCCACTGCCTTAAGAATGCCACAACTACTGTACTACTCTGAGTTGCTATGGGGTGGTCCCCCAACAAGCTAAGAGTGTATTACCCCAGATGAGGATGAACGGAACAAAAGAACAGAACAAAAAATTGCAAGAAACCCAAACTTTATTCTGGAACCACTAGAAGGCAAGAAGATAGCGTTGTCATGTCTAGACAGCTCTTATGTGGTGATTGTTCCTATCACTATAGTCATTGCCTGGGTGGTGTAAGGGATTTTGCAACCTCTGTATTCGACCCTGAAAAATTCCAGACTTGCTTGGGCCATAAATTCTGTCTCACAAACACCCAAAATGGCCCAGGTTCTGCTGTTCCCAAAAATCTTCATTCACAGGTTATGTTTGACCCAATTGTCAACTGATCAACCATATCTTGTTGGAGGACAAACTTGACAATGCAACCTCTTCTTTTGATCCTGTTCCCCCCTCTTCTTGATGATGCCAAGAATATACAAGACAGAGGCGTCAACAGCAGTGAATGTCATCCCCTGTCCAATCATCACCATCATGTTTCCAACAAATTGAAGGTGAAAGTGAAACTCATGAAGCTACTGTGCAACCAAAACATTCCTCTTGCCACTGAGAGAGAGAGAGAGAGAGAGTTGTATCAATGGGAGACCAAAGCTGAGAGTCTATCAACTCTTTTCTTGGTCTCAAGGGAACTTATTCAAAACACGCAAATCTGCAATGAAAGATTTGTACAAAGCAGCCCCTGAAATTGAAGGTGGTGAGTTCAAGCCTGTTGTGGTTGGCTGGCGCTACAAAGCTTCTGTTGATCCATCTGATTGTGGTTGAAAACAAATTTAGGTGCGGTTGTTTTGCAAAGCTTTGAACTCCCTACTTGCCAATGCCACATTGGTCACAGAGGGTAACCTTTCC